ATACAAGAAGCTTCTGAACTCCATTGGAGAGGTCTCTACTGTGGGCAATACAAGGGGCTGCTGAACTCCATTGGAGAGGTCTCTACTGTGGGCAGTACAAGGGGCTGCTGAACTCCATTGGAGAGGTCTCTACTGTGGGAAATACAAGGGGCTGCTGCCCTCCATTGAAGGTTTTCTACTGTGGCCAGTACAAGGGGCTGCTTTACTGCATTTAGGAGTCTCTACTGTGGGCAATACAAGGGGCTGCTGAACTCCATTGGAGAGGTCTGTACTATGGACAGTACAAGGGGCTGCTGAACTCCACTGGAGAGGTCTGTACTGTGGGCAGTACAAGGGGCTGCTGAACTCCATTGGAGAGGTCTCTACTGTGGGCAATACAAGGGGCTGCTGAACTCCATTGGAGAGGTCTCTACTGTGGGCAATACAAGGGGCTGCTGAACTCCATTGGAGAGGTCTCTACTGTGGGCAGTACAAGGGGCTGCTGAACCCATTGGAGAGGTCTCTACTGTGGGCAATACAAGGGGCTGCTGAACCCCATTGGAGAGGTCTCTACTGTGGGCAATACAAGGGGCTGCTGAACTCCATTGGAGAGGTCTCTACTGTGGGCAATACAAGGGGCTGCTGAACTCCATTGGAGAGGTCTCTACTGTGGGCAGTACAAGGGGCTGCTGAACTCCATTGGAGAGGTCTCTACTGTGGGAAATACAAGGGGCTGCTGCCCTCCATTGAAGGTTTTCTACTGTGGCCAGTACAAGGGGCTGCTTTACTGCATTTAGGAGTCTCTACTGTGACCAGTAAAAGGGGCTGCTGCACTCCATCTGGGTGTGTTCTACTGTGGGAAATACATAGGGGGTGCTTCCCTCTACTGGAAGGGGGGATTCACTACTGTGGCTAATACAAGAGGCCGCTGCACTCCATTGAAGATTATCTAGTGTGGCCAGTATAAGGGGCTGCTGCACTTCATTGGGAGGGGGGAGGGGGGTGCCTCTATTGTGGCCAATACAAGAGGTTGCTTATTTTCTTATAATTTACAGTGTGGATGCTCAACCTGTGGCCCTCCAGCTGTTGCTGAACTACAAGTCCCATGAGGCATTGCAAGACTGAAAGTTACAAGCATTACTCCGAAAGGCAGGGGCATGATGGGACTTGTAGTTCCGTGACAGCTGGAGAGCCACAGGTTGAGCACCCATGATTTACAATCTGTTCAATATTAAGGAAAATGTATCATGCATTAAAACACCCTAAAGTGAGCAAAAACACAAAAATCAAAGATCAAAGCGGAACAGCAAAGAATCCAACACTACGGGAGGCCACTAAGTAATTCTGGGAACAATACTTTTCCTGCTGTTACAATATAACTCGTAGGCTGTCTGACCCGTAAATGACATGAGAAAAACAAATTATCAGCAAAGTTTAAATTTGAACCTCAACAAAAGTGTACTCAATTTGTTTACAGTGGTGAATTGTAAAGGTGTTGTTGGGCTTCATTGCTGTTTGTGTTTCCACTGGGTAGATTTCTCCTCACTTGGTCACCAGGAGCAGAAGTGAGAAGAATCTCCCCAATGGAGGCACAGGCAGCAGTAGAATCACCTTTTAGTAGAGCAGGTAAGGGAAAGATCCTGTGTCAGGTTGGTATTTCTGCCTGTATCACCACTGGAATTTTTTGCTTACTTCTCGCGTGAAGCCAATTAGAAAACCTGACAAGTGTTCTAATGATTCAGTCCATCATATATAACATGTGGAGAAGATAATAGATACATTTTCAGTGATGGATATGAAGATGAAATTACCTCCGCGATGCACAAACCCTACTGCATATACACATCATATGAAGGATGTCCTCCTTATATCTTGGGTTACCAAGGATCAGAAGAACAGACTGGACTGGGGTGAAGGTGAACAACGCAATCTGAAAGAAATCTCCATAGTGTGATATGGAATCCTTTAAGCAATAAGCAGCAATCACTATCAAATAAAGGAAAACATAAAAGACCAAAACCTCTACCATTGTCTTCACCACCCTTTGTACTTTCATGTCGGCACTACCAGAGGGGGTGATGTTCCTGCCTGTCCTACGGATATGAATGATGAGGGACACGGCAGTACGAGCTGTGATGACCATTGAAATCAGCAACGACACAAACATACTGATATATAAAATAGTCCTTCCTGGGTGAGAAATATCTTCTAATATGTTGAAAAAATAGATGGATGAGACATTGGCTGATTTCTGTGGAGGAACATTTGGCATCTCACTGAGGAAGCTTCCACCGAGACACACGGCTTCAATGACCAAGATCATCCTTGGGATCAGGACATCAATCTTCTTCTTCATCAGGGAAAGGAAGGCAGACTTTAACTGGGTGATTTTAATGAAGTAAAAGAAGCACAGGCATGCAGTCAACCAGGAGCAAGACATCATCCCATAAAACACCAAGGCATTTATAGTGTTCACAATGTAGATGTCCAGTTTTTAAGGAGAAATATGACGCAGAAGTCAAAGTAAACATCATTATTGACACACACATGTTGGAGCAGCTTAGGGGGAATATTATCTTATCTCCGGTACTCATACTTTGCCCTTTAAAGATGTCTTTTAAGATAGCAAATAGAATGAAGAGACAAGCAAATAATCCAATACATAGTTCTAGAATGATTATAGTGAAAGGAATCCCAGCCCCTGGATCCATGGCAAGGTGATGACCTTTCTTTAGGAGTTCTTCAAGCCAAAGAGATCCTATTATTGATATTGATTGTGCTTCTCTGTCATCTATGGAGAGCTATTCTCTGGTATCTTCAGACCTTCATTGAAGGGATTGATTATCCCACTGCAACCACTGAAGACTGAGAAACTGCATCCATCCAAATGACAGAAGTCCTAAAAATACTTCCCATATATTCAAACTCTAGTCATTTGCTCAGCTATTTTACATGCAAATATTACATTCAGTGTTCTTCTGCTGATCCGCGCTCCATACAATGTGCCATCATTGTACAATAATCCTCATCAGGGCTGGATCTAGCCTGTCCGATGTGGGGATGCTGTAAAAAAATGTCAGCAGGGCAGAGGATGGGAGTTCAGGAGAGCAGAGGACAGGGGTCACTGCTGGCTGGGCAGAGGACAGAGGTCACTGCTGGCTGGGAGGAGGACAGGGGTCATTGCTTGCAGGGCAGAGGACAGGGGTCATTGCTGGCAGGGAGGAGGACAGGGGTCATTGCTGGCAGGGAGGAGGACAGGGGTCATTGCTGGCAGGGCAGAGGACAGGGGTCATTGCTGGCAGGGCGGAGGACAGGGGTCATTGCTGGCAGGGCGGAGGACAGGGGTCATTGCTGGCAGGGCGGAGGACAGGGGTCACTGGTGGCAGACCACTGTTAGCAGGCCAGAGGACAGGTGTCCCTTCTGGCTGGGCAGAAGACAGGGGTCACTGGTGGCAGACCACTGCTGGCAGGCCAGAGGACAGTTGTCCCTTCTGGCTGGGAAGTGGACAGGGGTCACTGCTGGCAGGGCAGAGGACAGGGGTCACTGGTGGCAGACCACTGCTAGCAGGTCAGAGGACAGATGTCCTTGCTGGTAGGGCAGCAGATAGGGGTCACTGCTGGCTGGTCAGAAGACAGGGTCACTGGTGGCAGACCACTGCAGGTAGGCCAGAGGCCAGGTGTCCCTGCTGTCTGGGAAGGGGACAGGGGTCACTGCTGGCAAAGAAGAGGGCAGAGGACAGAGGTCACTGCTGGCAAGGCAGAGGGCAGAGGTCACTGCTGGCAAGGCAGAGGGCAGAGGACAGAGGTCACTGCTGGCAAGGCAGAGGGCAGAGGACAGAGGTCACTACTGGCTGGGCAGAGGAAGGGAGCACAGCTCCTTCTCCCATCCCTGCACTGCACACAGCCTGGGAACAGGCAGCATCACTCCTCCTCCCCATACAACGCATACCTGAGATCAGTATAGTGTCAGTCAAGGGTGATATAGTGTCAGATTAGGGCAGTATAGTGGCAGGTTAGGACTGGCTTTTGGGGGGGGTCACAAGCTAAAATCTGAGGGGACAAAGCCCTCCCATCACCTCCCCCCCCCCCCGGATCTGGCCATGATTCTTATGATAGGCAAGTGCTGTAGAAGAGAAAAGAAGGGAAAGGCGCCTCTAGGTGTGAACTGGAAACTAAGTTTATTGCACATAACAGACAGCAACTTACAGGAGGGTAGAGTGAACTAGGCACATCAATATTCCATCATTGGGAGTCCGCCATGGTGAGCAGCATAGTGTGCAGTAATAGATGATGATCAGCCATCTGTCAGTGTCAGGAGCTTTAGCCGGAAAGATGGAGAAGGTCTGGCACTGAGGCTTGGAACGAGCAGTGGAGAGCAGTGTGTGCGTGATGACGTCACCGTCATCGTTACAATGCGTTTCCTGAACATGTGCTGTGAGATAACAGTCCTAGTGCACTCCTTTGTCAAGCTGATGAGATATAGTGGGTTGTGCTGATATATGAAGTAAAAAGACATGAAACCCCCCGATGTAGACCAGCCTCCCCCAGCCACCTTTAGAGCCTCTACAAATGTTCTCAATATAAGCCTCTTATCGCCTGCCCATTTCTGCATCTGTTCCTCCAACATTTGTCTCTGCATCATGACGTAACACCCACACCCATCATATGACGTCCTCCCAGTCTCACTGCGCATGCGCGGCTTCAGGGAGCGCGCGGCTCAGGGAGTTTGCAGCGCGGCGATCGGACTGCGCTGTGTCCCTCGGACACAGTGGATCACTGATCACAGAAAGAGCCAAAGATGTCGGCTCGGTCATGTGATCAGCTGTGTCCAATCACAGCTGATCGCATGTAAACAGGGAAATGCCAGTTATCGGCATTTCTCTCCTCTCGAGCTGTCACGCTGACAGAGGAGAGCCGGTAATCGGCCGCGAAGGGGGCATGTACACTGATCATCAGGGCACTGATGATCAGTGTAGCCCCAACAGTGACACCTGTCAGTGCTCATCAGTGCCTCGTGCCAGTGCCAATCAGTGCCACATCAATGCCACATATCATTGCCTACCAGTGCACATCAATGCCACATATCAGTGCCCATCTGAGTGCTTTCAGTGTCACCCATCAGTGCCAGTCAGTGCCACCTATCAATGCCAATCAGTGTCACCTATCAGTGCTGCCAATCAGTGCCACCTATCAGTGCCAGTCAGTGCCGCTTATCAGTGTGCATCAGTGCCGCCTATCAGTGTGCTGTCAGTGCCACCTATCAGTGCCGTGTCAGTGCCGCCTAACAGTGCCAGTCAGTGTCGCCTATCAGTGCCGTGTCAGTGCCGCCTACCAGTGCCAGTTAGTGCCGCCTATCAGTGCCAGTTTAGTGCCGCCTAACAGTGCCAGTCAGTGCCGGCCTATCAGTGCCAGTCAGTGCGGCTATCAGTGCCATGTATCAGTGCTGCCTTTCAGTGCCCATCAGTGATGCCTGTCAATGCCCATCAGTGTGCCACCTACTAGTGCCACCTATCAGTGTCCATCAGTACAGCCTATCAGTGCCCACCACTACAGCCTCATTAGCGTATATCAGTGAAGGAGAAAAATCACTTATTTACAAAATTTTATAACAAAAACTATAAAAAACGCATTTTTTTTTTTCCCCAAAATTTTCAGTGGTTTTTGGTTTGTTTAAGAAAAATAAAAAACCCGAGGTGATTAAATACCACCAAAAGAAAGCTCTATCTGTCACAAGAAAATGATAAAAATTTCATATGGGTACAGTGTTGCATGACCGCGCAATTGTCATTCAAAGTGTGATAGCGCTAGGCAGGAAGGGGGTAAAGTGCCCCGTAGGCCATGAAGGGGGTAGAAAAGGCAGGAAGGGGGTAGAAGTGCCCGGTAGGCAGGAGGGGGTAGAAGTGTCCGGTAGGCAGGAAGGGGTTAGGAAGGCAGGAAGGGGGTAGAAGTGTCCTGTAGGCAGGAAGGGGGTAGAAGTGCCCCGGTAGGCAGGAAGGGGGGTAGAAGTGCCCCTAGAAGTGCCATGTAGGCAGGTGGTTAAACCTGGATGGGGTTGAAGGGTGTATGGGATGCCCAAGGAACTGTAACTGCGGACAACTTCTTACACCTATGTACAAGTCTATATATAGCAGATCTCCCTCAGAGAGCTCTCCAGCCTCTCCTGGTGTACCTTCAGATCCCAGAAGAATCCTCTTCTCATATCCAGCTGTAATGAGGGAATACTTGAGCAGGGGGGGTCCCGGAATCTGTTGTTTTCAATGGTTTGTTAGAAAAGGAGTCAGAGACAGGTAAATTTAAAAAAAATGTAGAGGGTTTCCCCCATAATTCTTAAGAGGCCCTTCAGGTTTAGTATGAATTTTAATGATGACTTCTCCACAAAAAAAAGGGTGCAAGCCCCCCCCCTCCCAAAATCCATACCAGAATCTTATCCAAGCATGCAGCCCAGCTTTGTCCATGTACATTACCCCCGAAGCATCCACCCGTCAAGGACAGATGTCAAAGCTTACTGGCAACCATTAACTTTTTCATCGTAAAAATAGTTACTTTCAATAGGCTGAGTGTGGATAGATGGAAATCATTGAGGGATTAGCTGGAGAGTACCAACGACTGAATTCAGATACAGAATACAGAGATCACTGAGCTGAACGGCTGTAATGGTCAGATACTTCCAAAGTCTGGCCACGTGGGTTATAGTGATTGTGAAGGCAGACTTTTTCTTTCTAGGCAGGAAGGTAAAAACATTTTTCATGCAGTTACTCTCGTGGTCACCCCCAATACTTATCTGAGCCTGATCTAGATCCAGCCCTGAGCACAAGGCTCTCCAGGATCTCTCCTCATTGGCTCAGATACAACAGCAGGAGCCATTTGCTCCCACTGCTGTCACTGCCAGTGATGAGTAAGTGGGGCCTAGCCTTGTTCTATGTGTCTTTTCAACTGTGTCTCGTAAGCAACCATGGGCAAGTGCTCCCATAGCAAGCAGCTTTCTATGGGGGCACTGGGAGGGAGGAGGAGCTAGGAACACTGTTGGAGGACCCCAGAGGATCGAGGCTGCTCTGTGCAAAACAGAGCATGGAGCAGGTAAGTATCACATGTTTGTTACTTTAAAACAAAAAAAATAACCTTTATTATTACTTTAAATTGAACAATGGTCTGAATACGTACACCAGAAGGTTTGCAGGCAGTGAAATTGTGTAGCACATGGTGGAAACATACAAGGCAATAATGATATTGTTGCATGAGGCAATATTTGTCCCTTTAAAGCCAGAAAAGGTGAGAGAAAATAATATAAAGGTATTAAAACATAAGCCAAGGGTGGCCTACAATGCTAGGACATGAGACAAACATGGACTATGGTGTCCTTGAGGTGTCTCAGGATTTGCTCCTTGAGGTCCTTGAGGTGTCTCAGGATTTGCTCCTTGAGGTCCTTGAGGTGTCTCAGGATTTGGTCCTTGAGATGTCTCAGGATTTGCTCCTTGAGGTGTCTCAGGATTTGGTCCTAGAGGTGTCTCAGGATTCTCAGGATTTGGTCCTAGAGGTGTCTCAGGATTTGGTCCTAGAGGTGTCTCAGGATTTGGTCCTTGAGGTGTCTCAGGATTTGGTCCTTGAGGTGTCTCAGGATTTGGTCCTAGAGGTGTCTCAGGATTTGGTCCTAGAGGTGTCTCAGGATTTGGTCCTTGAGGTGTCTCAGGATTTGGTCCTTGAGGTGTCTCAGGATTTGGTCCTTGAGGTGTCTCAGGATTTGGTCCTTGAGGAGGATTTGGTCCTAGAGGTGTCTCAGGATTTGGTCCTACCTGAGGTGTCTCAGGATTTGGTCCTTGAGGTGTCTCAGGATTTGGTCCTAGGTGAGGTGTCTCAGGATTTGGTCCTGAGGTGTCTCAGGATTTGGTCCTAGAGGTGTCTCAGGATTTGGTCCTGAAGGTGTCTCAGGATTTGGTCCTTGA